CAGATTGCCAAACCGTGAACTACATTCATAAGCAGAAATCTGGAAGACATTAAGAAGAAGATCTACGAAGGCAGAGTGGATGGATGACTCTTCTCCTTCTTGATCATCTAATCATTATCCAGTTAAACTTCAAAACTCAGTGTCAACATCATTTCCCAGGTCCAGGTAGAATTCTTCAGTCTCTTCATTAGGTGATGCCCATAATGTTGCCCTGTATTACTTGATCCTGGTGTATTATAGCTTTTTAATTCAATGTCTGTCTCCCAAAACACAGTGAACTCCTAGAGAGCAAGCACTGGGTCTCATTAATTTTCCTGTCCCTTGGGACTGAAACAGTACTAAAAGCATATTAGGTTCTTAATAGTTTTTAAATAAACAAATGATTAAAGAAGACAAATAAGGATAAGAGGAATAAATTGGTAAATTCATTACAGAGGACAATTTGTTAATATTTATCTACCAAAGTTAAAATGTATAAATCCTTGGATCCAGCAATTACATCCCCAAGAATTTATCTTACAGACATATACACACACATGTGCCAAATATTTAGGTACACTGTTATTCACTTCAGCATTGTTTGTTAGCAGAAGCTTAGAAATAAAAAAATGTCTGTTAACAGCGGATTGAAGAAAGAGATTACAGGATATCCATACGATGGAATGCCAGTCAGCTATGAAAAACACCATGTGGAAAGATCTTCACAATATAAAGTTAAAACAAAAAAGTGAGATTCAGAACAGTGTAATATGCACACATTTGTGTTAAAAAAAGGAGGAAATATCTATATCTTACATTTGTTTGTGTATGTATATATATATATGAATATATACATATATATGAATGTCTCTGGAAGGACCCAGAAGAAACTAACTGCCATTTTTTGGAGATTGCCATTTGAAGAGAGGGAAAGACTTTTCACTATATTCCTTTGCATACTTTTAATTTCTGAAAAATATAAATATATGACTGGTTCAAAATATTGTGTAAATATTTTTTTTGAAAAAGAAAATTGCATATGGATTGGTTATAGCAAATCTATTCTTAATTGCCAAAACTTATTAGCAACCAAGATGTCCTTCATTAGGTGAATGGACAAATAAACCATGGTACATCCAGAAAATGGAATATTGTTCAGTGCTAAAAGAAATGAGCTGCCAAGTGATGAAAGACATGGAGGAAACTTAAGTGCATATTACTAAGTGAAAGGAGCCAATCTGGACAAACTGTAGAGTGTATTATTCCAACTATATGACATTTTGAAAAAGGCAAAACTGTGGAGACAGTAAAAAGGTCAGTGGTTGCCAGGGATTAACAGGGTGGGAGGGATGACTAGGCAGAGTTCAGATTTCTGGGGCAGTGAAACTATTCCATATGATCCTATAATGGTAGATACATGTCATTATTCATTCATCAAAACTCATAGAATGTACAACACCAAGAGTAATGTCCTATTGTAAGTTATGGACTTTGAGTGATAATGATGTATCAATGTAGGTTCACCGATTGTAACAAATGTGCCACTCTGGTGGGAGATGTTGATAATAGGGGAGCTATGTATGTATGGGGAGGGGGTGGGGATTATGGGATTCCTCTATACCTTCTTCTCAATTTTGCTGTGAACCTAAAACTGCTGTAAAAATAGTCTCTTTAGAAGGAAAAAAGAAAAGAAAAGAAAACTAGTGAGTTAGAGTTGCAATATCATTAAAAGATTCTAGATTCTGAAGCCATTCCTGGCCATTCTCTGGTCTGACATTGTGATCTAGCATATGTGGGCTGTGATATATTGTTTTTGATGCTATGCGTGATGTAATTTCAGGCATACATACATATAACATACATTTCCTGGTAACAACCATTGCACTTTTCTGTCACTATTAATTGGGGCTCAGGCCTGCCATAAGTTTAACTCACCTTGTAGTCCAGCCACAGGCCCTCAGTTAAAGTGCCCAGGCTTCTTTCTGGCACTTATGAGAGACAGTGGATCTTCATAGCAAGAATGTGGGCTCTACAGTCAGCCTGTCTAGATTGGAATTCTGGACTCATCTAATTCCTAGCTGTTTGTTCTTAGGCTTTTGTTTTCTCCTCTCTATCACGACAGAACAACAGTGCCTGTAGCATAGGGTTTTTGTGAGGATCAGATGAAATAATATATGTAAAGCACTTAGCAGTGATTGGTACGTACTTTATTATTGTAGCTATTATTGTTATTTTTATCATCATCATTATAATCATCATCAACCATGCCTAATCTCTGCTGGCTGCTTTGGGCAAGGGTAGTTGCCTATTTAGAGCATGAAGACATGTCAGAAAGCCGCAGGAACTCAGGGCTGGGTTCTCCTGGTTCCTCCTGATGTTATCTAAAGAGCAAAGGTTTTGAGTCCTGGTTAAAAAAACCTGATATCTTCATTGTGACCTGTCCAGTTGGCAAAGAGATAGATTTCGTTGGTCTCACTGCCCCAAGAAAGACGTGGGCATAAGGGTTAGTGATTGGCCCATAGTGAATAGCAGGTCTGTACAGAAAATGGAACCCGGGCTCCTGTGGGCTCTGTGTTGTGCTCTCCGTTGGTCTGCATCATGTTGGTGCCATCAAAGTGTACTAAGCAATGCACCAGCTTCTGCTGCATGGGTGGTTATTCCTTAACGCTGACATCTGTCTACTCCCAGCCAAGGAGGAATTGGTTCTGTAATTATCACCCTAATGATATTTCTTTTGTTTTAAAATATACCTAACATTTATTTTCTCCATCTGGGAGAAAAATGGGGAAACTTCTATTTTTCAAAGCCTCTAAATCTTGGTGTAATAGATTAGGGAGCTTTGAGACGCTGGTTTGTCCTTTTTGTGTTTTTTGGCATGTTCAGCATCAAGTTTGGCATCTCTCTGGGGCGAGGAGGTGTCCTAGTCCATTTGGGTTGCTATAACAAAATACCACAGACTGGCCAGCTTATAAACAACCAAATTTTAATTCTCATAGTCCTGGAGGCTGGGAAGTCCAAGATCAGGTGTTAGCATGGTTGGGTGAGGGCCCTCTTCATGTTGCATCTTAGTCTGGGCCCTCTTGCTGTGTCCTCACGTGGTGGAAAAGGCTAGAAAGCTCTGTAGGGTCTCTTTTATAAGAACACTTATATGACCTAGGGTTCCACCCTCATGACCTAAGCACTTCCCAGAGGCCCCACCACCCAATACCATCATCTTTGGGGGTTAGGATTTCAACATATGAATTTTGAGGGGATACTTTCAGACCACAGCAGGAGGTAACAATCATTTAATAACAATTATTAAATTAATGTGTGAAAAGTGATTAGAACAAAACCTGGCACATTAAAAGTGTTATATAAGTTTTGCTACTTTCATTATTATGTCATAATAAGTGCTCATTTTGGCTGATTGTTTCATTGAATACAACAGAGAAGAAGCACTGTCTTCTTTTAGGAGACAAGTCAGCAAACACTCCCCCAGCTGAGACCTGTGGCAGACACTGCTAAGTAATCATGGCCCTCCCCTGTGTAAGTCCAAAGTTGCCTTACAAACCTCATCACATCCCTCCAGGCAGCCAGCACCAAGCAACTGGCATGGGCACCTGCGATAAAACATTTGCTGTCCCAGCCTAAGAGCTTATGTTCTAAAGAGACCTCAAGAACTCCGACACTCCCCTAGAAATAGGTGTGGTGAAGTCAAGTTATTCTAAACATGCTCAAGGCTTCCCAGTTCAAGGCCTAAAGGAAACCAAGGCTGAAGTTATTTGGCCACCTCTACACCTGTGCACATTCTTGATTTGACCTCTTCAAATTTTGAGGTTCTTAACTTTTGACATTCTTTTTGCTGAATGTCTGTTCAGCAATGAGGAGGTCTGAATTTTGCCCAAGCATTTAGACTTAGCCCTTTTTTGAATCAAAGATTTGGTTCTAAATGAAAGGACACTGGTGTGACTTGGTTTGGGGTCCTGGTATGTGAAATAAGAGAAACCCTCAATTACATGCACAAATAATTGCTTGTAAGCTCAAAAGCCTTGAATCTACCTTGGGTAGTATTTTATTTCATTATAAGGTAAAAATTTATTTTTCTGATTCTGTATTTTAAGAAGGACAAAAATGTACATTTAAACATTCTGTAAAGTTACTACTTGTCCCTACAAACTGGCTCTTAAATTGTTAGCCCTTCATTTGGCTAAATGAATACTGAGTGATGCTGAATATAACTTCTATTTTGCTGAATATAAACTGTTTATGATGCTGAACATAACTTCTGATTTACTTTTTGAATTGAGCCAAGTCATATCTTGGTTTTTCAAGTTTCTCATCTGTAGTATTAATATCCAGCTTCAATCCAATCAACATTTATGGGCATCAGAGAAATTTAAAATATATTTCTAAGATATTTTGCATATATAAAACGTCATAAAAGGGCTATACAGACATGTCTGTATGATTTACTTTTAAAGAACGTTTTCCGTTTTAGATTTTCAAATTACTCAGCTCAGATATGGGCGCATTAAGGAAGTGATGTCCTCGTTCATAATGATTGTGTACTGCAATTGCCTATGCCTTCCAAGCTGAACATTTCTATTTCTGGTTATAGTCCCCTCCATAGGCATAGCTCAGCTGGACTGTAGTTTTCAGGAGCTGTCTTGAAACTGGGGGGATTTAGTTAATTGTTGGTGTGGCAGATGAATAAACGCGACCCAGGAAATTCTAATGACCCGGCTTCTCTCAGTAATGTTCCAAATTTGCTAAGCTTTTTTAAAGCCTCCTGGCCATTATGGAAGGTGCATTCCAGAACCTGTAATAGGAGCCCCCAGCTAGGTGGCTCTTCTGCATTATTCCTTCCTCTCACCAGAAGCAGGTGTTGTCTCTGATGTCTACTGCCCTCCTCAGATGTGAGAGAAGTTTCAACCATCCTTCTCACATTTTTATATATGGTGAAATTATATGAGGATCCGAATTCCTACATTTCAGAATGTGGTTTTCCTCTGACAGTTTTACAAAATATTCTGTGTGTAGAATTTGTGTAACAAATTCCTTACATATTTCCTGATCCCAGGATTCCAAAAGATTTTTCTCTCCTAAGGGATCTTGGTTCCTCTGAGCAGTGTACTTCCTCTGTGTGTATCTGCGCCCCAGCCTTCCAGGTACTATGGGCAGATGGAGATTCCTCCTGCCAAGAGTTTTTTGTTTTTTAAAGGAGAATCCAAAATAGGCTGGGTACTATGCCAACTTGTCAGTGATATAGTTGTACATATTGTTGATATCAGCTAAAAGGGTGATAAGAGAAGCACATTTTTTTTTTGGCATAACAAGGCCATAAATTATTTGAAGAATTCACCAAAGACAGTAGGTCCATGAGTGAGCCTGTTTTAATTGAATTGGTATTTACACAAGGTGACACCCTCTTTCACACCACCCACCTCCTCCCTGGGTGACTCAGCCACTGCGGGAGAAACCTCTGAACTGTTCATTAACGCAGTCAGGTAGGGGTGGAAACCACATGCAGTAAACTCCAGGTGCACATTTATTTCAGCTGGATCCACGTCGGATCAGTGCAGGCTGTTTAGACAAAAAGTCCTGGTTTTCTGCTCAAGAGAGGTAAGTTTAATTATATTTGCAAACATAAATACATCTGCTTTACTTGTATAACTTTCCCTGTTTTCTTCGCAAATGATTAAAATTAGAACTGACTGTATTAACTTTGTCTTTTTTCCAGTTAAATTTTCACAGCTTCCAACGGGCTGCTCTGCTTGTCAACAGCTCTGCTGTTCCTTGTTGTGATTTCAGATTGCATGGCTTTTAACTTCTTGGCAATTTTACGAATTTACAGGCATCATAGAAATAAAAGCCTATTTGAGTTCCGTGTGGGAGCTGTCAGCTAGTGAATCCTGTCACATATAACGATAGTCAGGTCTTTAAGTCAAGGGACTGGCACTTGCTGGTCTATTTTTTCAAGTGACTATGAAAGCATTTTTTAAAAGGACCTCCCTGTTTTCACAGATGATGCTTTTAGTGAAATGTGAACTCTATTGTTTTATGGATAAGTCTTATTGTTTTTTCTTGACTGCTAAAAACATTACAAGTCACTGAGCTGTGAGAGAGATGCCAAAACCATACCCTCTCCACCCTATCTTCCCCAAATAAGAAAATCACATTTTATTTTTTTTTTTTTTTGCATGAATGTACTAAGGAATAAAGCAGGGTGGGCTTAAACGGGGGCGTGTGTTTTCCCACAGGGATCTGTGTGCATTTGGCCAACTTTTCTGTGTTATATTCTGAGTTCTAACCTAAGAATTAATTAAGGGATATGGGGACAATTTTCAACCTCCATTCGTATCCTAGTCCTGAAAAACCAGTTTTGGAAGCCCTTTGATAAGAATGGAAAAGTTATTTTAACCAGGATTTCCTTTATAATTAATAGCTAAGCTGACTTGTCTGACTCCTGCTTTTTTTAACCACCATTTCCATCTATGATACAGAGCTGTGGGAATCCAACGTAGGGGGCGCTCAGTTTGCAGCTAGCAGCTCTGTCTTCCAGAGGGCGTTCCCCACAGCACACTCGGCTCTGCCTTTAGTTCTAGAGTTTTTGTTGCTTCCCATTGCTGACTAGGTCATGTGCCATCTCAGGGGTTTGGAGTTCGATTCCCAAGGGTTTACTAAAGAATTTTATAACTTGGCTTTCAAACATGTAGAGTAATCAGTAAGCTAAAGTATAGCATTTGTGAATTATAATTTTACTTTTAATGAAATATGATCAAATTTAAAACTGGCTTTCACTTCCACTGTTTATAATGCAGATATGGTCTTTCTGATATTTGCTGTACTCCAGTGTTTCAAGTACTGAAAAAAATCAATCTGAGAAAACTGAGATATGACATCATCAAAAATTTTAGTAAGACATTTAGTTGATTCTAAATGTCAGGATAGACAGAGAATGCAGATAAACAGGCCAGGATTTTAATTAAAATTTTAGCGTCTTGTTAATCGTAGGTCCAATTGACACAGATTTTCACTTGGAATGGAGCATAGGCTTATTTAGTCTAACTTATGAATTCTCTGGATGAGGACAACAGAAGTATAAATTCTAAGTAACTTTGCCAGGATCATAGTAACAGTAATGGAATGAGAAGCCAGATCACCTGAATTTTCCCAATGATTTTTCAAATTTTTCCACGTAAAATATGGAATAGTAATAAATGAGCTTCCTTCTGGCTTTATAAAAGGACTACAGTGGTATGTAAATGAGAATTTCCTAATCCAGTAGTACCTGAAACTGTTGTTATAGTGTGTATGGTATGACTATAACATAATGGGATACGTTTTTAATTTGTGGTTTGTGGAGTCAGTCTTGTTTTTTATTATATTCATGGGGGTTTAATCTCAGGAGCCGGCAGCCTCTCTGTGGGAAGGTGGTGTGGTATGTGTGTGTAGGTTGTGGTACACCCAATCCCCCAGTGAGGCACACCCCTCACCTCACTATCATTCCACAGGTGCTGCTTATCTGGCTGTCTTCTCTAACCACTGGAATTTTGACTGAAATACCTGAGAGATTCATTTTCCTGAGGACTTTGTAAACAAAACAAAGAGGATATGTTTTGAATGACTGAACTCAAATTGTGGAATGAACCGCATATAATTCACTAAGCAGTCAACTTAAGCAAACATGATTTAACTGATAGTTTCCCGTATGATTTGGGCATTAACTCGAAGCATTCTTCAAGAGGGAAGTGATAAAGTCCTTGGCCAGCAGCTGCCCATGGGAAATCTTTGCTGGTCCCACACAGCTTGTCTACTGACATAATTCTGCTTCTAGGCCATTTATTGAAACTTTTCCCCTTTCTCTTGCTGAGAACTTTGAGATAAGGGTTTTATGTATTAATTGATGTGAACCTGTCTGCAGTTGCTCAAAGTTCACTTTTTAATCAAAAGTTTTTATGAAATATCTTGAATTATGTCCAGTTAACTGTTGTGAAAACCCATTTAATTTTAGAATTTTGGAAAGTCCCTTCCTCAAATGGATGCTTTGTCACATGACAGCTACAGTTATTAGATTTGCATTTTATGTTAGTTGCTAAACTTTTTTACTGATGTGAAACATGCTTTTATTGTGATTATTAATTGAAAGAACGAATTTTATAGATATCCATTAAATGACAGCCATCTCACTTCTAGACATGAGAGCCACTAGTCCTGAATACTCATTGTAATTGTATACTTGAGAGCGCTAAGCATCTAAATAATTTATTTTTTATCTCTAAATCTAAGTTTCCCTGCCCTAAAATGTGACTGAGTTTCCATTGAACTTCCTGGGAGAAAATAGTGAACTATAGACCATACTTTTCAAACTAGGATACATCCGTCTCGGGGAACTGTGGCAGTATTGCAAAGAATGCACAGAAACCACAGGATAAGCATGGGCCATAGGCATCGGGAGCCAACTTTAGTTAAGGGGTTTTGGAGAAAACTGCTCCTACAAGCCTTCTCTCTCCTCACTCCTTTCCAGTGTCTTCTCTTCTGTCATTAGGTAAAAGTTTGAAAGGAATTCATATTGAAAAAAGTGCAGGGCGGGAATCCAGATAAACTTGGATTTAATCATGACTCCACTGTGACCAAGGGTAACATATGATCATGCTTACCTCACAGCACCAATGGATAAAGGGAAAATTTAGGATTCTTACTGAATTTTATCTATTTTACATATTATATATAATGTATATATATTATATATAGTGTATATAATATATAAAGTATTATATAATATACATATCATATGACATAATGTGACGTATATTATATGACTATTTCACCATAACACAAAGGGATATAAAATATCAAGAAAAAACTCTCTGCAAGAAAAATGTAGGACCTGGATAAAAAAAATCACAAAAGTTTACTGTAAGGCATAAAGACTTTCTTGAGTAAAAGCTTCTTTGAGTATTTTTCCTGGATGGACAAATTGAGTATCATAAATGTCAGCTCTTCCCAAACCTTTTTATAGGATTCATGTAATTCCAATAAAAATTTCCAATAGAACATTTATTTTGGAACCTGAGAAAATAATTTTTAAAGTTTATCTGAAAGAAATGAATGAGTGAGAATAGCTGGTAGAATTCTACAAAGCAAATTAATGAGGCATGCTTGCACTAGATATAAAATGTATTATAAAAAGACAATAATCAAAATAGTTTGTTTCTACTGTAAGAAACTAAACACAGATTTCTGGAATAAAACAAACAGCCATGAGGCACGTTCTAAAATATGGAAGAATTTAATATGTGACAAAGGAAGAATCATATATCAATGGGAGAGGTATTCATTTCCCCATTAGCAAAGTAAATCCATATGGATTAGAGTTTCCTTGTAACAAGAAAATATTTTTTAAAAATTAGAAAGATAAGCTTAAATATTTAATCTCATTGTTCAACAAATATTTCTCTAGAACTAATTATGCATTAGATACTGTAATAAGCTCTGGAAATACAGGTCTGGAGAAGACAGTCTTAGTTACAGCCCCCAAGATTTATAATGCGTGTGTGTTTGTGTGTGCATGCGCCTGTGTGTCTGTGTGTGTGTGTTGGGGATGGGGGAAGAATACTCAGCCACACAAATGGGCAATCCATATAGTAAGTGTTGTTATGGAGAGGTACTTTTTGCTATTTGAGCACTCAGTAGGACCCTAAACTTAGCCTGGGGAGGTAGGGATGCGGGCAGGTTAGGATAGTGTCACTGAATGCTTCTGAGAGGATATATAATGTGTGACATGAAGGATGAATAGAAATTTTTCCTGAAAAGAGAGCAAAGGGTAAGGAGAGCTCAAAAAGGAGAATGTTTTAGGCACAGGGCGTAGAGTGAGCAACAAGCTAAAGGTGATAAAAAGGATGAAACGCTCGAGGAACTGGAGTGACTCATTGTAACTGCAGCTAGAGTTGAATGAGGAATGGAGAGTGGGGATAAATGAGGCTGGAGAGTATAGACTTGTCAGCCTTGTTAAAATCTGGATTTCATCCTGACAGAAATGGAGCATCATTGAAAAGTGTTACGCGAGGAGTGTCTACTTTGGCACCAGTAAGAATGGATTAGAAGAGAGTAAATCTAGAGACTGGGACTATAGCTAGGAAACCATTAAGATGCTAAGGAGATTATGATAACTTGAATAGGTAGCTTGAGTACAGAAAGAAATACAATCAAGAGATATATAGGAGTAGAATCGTAGGACTTGGCAATTGCTTGGATTTTAAGTCAGAAAGAAGTTTCATGGATGGTCTACAGAGATTTTTAAAGAGTGGAAGGATTCATAACAAGAAAGGAGAATACAAAATTAAAAGCCGCCAATCAAAAAAAAAAATCAGAATTGGGAGCTAAATGAAAAACTCAGAAAGTAAAGATGAATGTTTCTGATATGTAAAGAAAGTAAGAAAGCAATAATAAATCTATAATAATAGTCAATGGAGAAGTCACAAAGTAAATAAAATGACCAGTAAAATGATGAAAATATGCAGTTGAAGCAAAATGACTCTGCTTTCTCCTATTAAATTGTTAAAGAGATTAAGAAATGATCATTCTAAGTGCTGGCAGATGTATAGACACTCATATGCTGCTGGTAGATTTAAACTGGTATAAAGTTTATGAAAAGAAATTTGACAATAGGGATCAATAACATTTTAGAAGTTATACCCCTTGGTAAGTAATTTCACTTCTAGGGATCCATCCAAAGGAAATAATTGGAGATGTGGTCAAAGATTTTGTGTATGGTTCTGTTGGAAACATCAGAAGAATTACATTATATTGATAAATAGACCCGTAAGATGATATATTTTGTATTTGCAGCAGAAAGAATTATTTAATTATTTTTCAAATGCCAGTAAAAAAATATGTATCAGTAGATCTATTGGCAAAGAAGAATCCTGGAGGAAAATAACAATGATTGATGAAAGTTATCTGATTATTTTCTTCTTTATGCTTTCTTCTATTTTCTATAATGAGCACGTATTACCAATATAATGAGAAAGATTATACTATGTAAAATTGGAATCAAGAATGACTACGTGACAGAAGTGTTGTGAATTTGAAATATGATAAGGTATTTAAGGTAACTAACAGCGTTTTGCCTCATAGTCTGTAGTCAAAATTTGAGTTTTCACTCATTTAACAAATATTTTCAGCTTGAACTGGAAATACCCTATGAGGGGCTCAGGTGATACATAATTTTTATTAAATAACATTTTTATTAATGAACATTAGACCATTGTCTTTTTAAAATGAAATAGATAATTGCCCCAGAGAGTAAGACTCTTCATGCTGAAACTTGATGTTATCATTCTGCAGAAAAGATAGGTTGTGGAAATGCGTGGGTGAAGGTCTTATATTAAAAACAAGAACCAACAGTGAGAAAATTTTATGGTTGGTGGTTCCTCAGACTCGGAAAATTGGTAGCATATAGACCTCTGGCTAGCTAAAAGATTTCATTTGTGCTACATTCTGAACTGTTTCGCCATCAGTAAGCAAGTTTCCCAATGCTAAGCACAGACTGTGAGGCCATGAGACTAAAGAACTAGCCAATTTCTAAGCATTGCAGCAGGCTAAATGAGTCTTTACCAGTTTGATAGTTACTGGATTTCCTTCTACATTGCATAGTCAGGCTAAACACAGTCCATTAATTTAAATGGACTTGTTAATATTTAAACTTCATGAAGCCCTATTTGTTTTCTCCTTATGTAATATTTCATGTTCTCTTAGGTGATAATTAGTTGTTTGATGGGTTGTTTTATTTATCTCCCAGGAGGTAATGCTTCTGCTCATTGGTTTGTAATTATTGGGCTCCTCTTCTTCTACTGAAAATGGTTTTACAGCATTTGTTCTTTTCCACTTCTTAGGTGGTTTTCCCTGTTACCAGTGATTTCTGTTAACAAATACTGGTGAATCTGGCATTATTAGTGGGCTGTGAAACTCTCAGGAATTTTTCATACACCAAGGTAATACCACCAGAGTTTGTGCATATGCCACTTTCTAGGTAATTTTGCTGTATTTCTTTCCTTATTCTATGTTGGCTTTTTAATACTTTCCATCACTATAGAGATTTCCTCTAGGCAGCTACTTACATTTGGTCTTTTCCATAAAGATATCAATTTACGTAAGTATATTACAAGCTTCATAAATTGATTGGAAGATCTGGGAGCAGGTAAAATATCCAATTATCACTCTGTGCTGGTCTCATGATCCTTTGGTAAAATGATCAAAGAAAGTCTGCTCCAAGTCTTGCTCTTGGTTGAGGTCCATTTTGAATCTCTACGCGAAGGGAATGTCATTCTTCTCACCCTTTCTTTTCAGTCTAGTAACTTTCCACCTGTTGGCCTTTTTTTGTTTCCTGGGTTTCTGGGACAGGAACTGTGGTGTCAGGATAATTTGGGTTGGAATCCCAACTGTGTGCTAGCTATGTAACCACAGGCAAACTACTCATCCTAATGCCTCTGTCTGTCCAGAAAGAACTAGTTTCACCCACTGTCGGCATTTCCAACTCCTGCCCTGCCTGCAAAACGACTCTGACTTCATTGAAATCATTCACCATAAAGTTTCACTTAGGTGTAGAATGAGGATGATAATAGTGTCAACCTTAAAGCATTATGTGGGTTTTAAATGAGATACAACATATAAAATCTAAGCCCAATATAGCTATAACTATCACGTGATCCAAGATATCATCAGTCAGAACTGAATTCTTTCTTGTTTTTTCTCTTTTCGTGTCTCATCCTCTATTTTGTTAATCTATTTTCTGCTCCTCCTCTTTTTCTTTTATGTTTTATTTCTCCTGTTCTCTTTCCTGTATGCACCACCGCATTCCAGTTTCTTTGCTCACACTATTTTTCTTAAGAGAAAATTAGCAGAGAGTAGTAAAGATATTATTAGGTAAGTCAAGAGGCATTTTGTCCTGGGGTGGGAAGGGAAGAGTGAGATCTGCAAAGTCTTTTTGTCAAGAGGACCCATAAGAAGAAGAAGAAGATTGTGGCTTAGTTGGGAGGCGGCCCAGGGAATTCCTGGAGTTGGGACAGGACAGCTGGGGCTGGCACTGGGCAAGGGGAGCAGTGGATCGATTACCTAATGGACCCTAACGCTCCCATGGAAGTGCTATTATTTAAAAATAGAGGATACTGAAGGATATTGAGAAAAACCATGTGAAGATGGAGAGAAGCTGAAAAGACAAATTTAAAAAATAGAGGATGCTTGATAGTTTCAAATGTATCCAAAGAGAACTAATAAAGTTGATTGGTTTTGTGATTCAGAATTTAAGTAGAGTGGTTTGTATCTAAAATCTAAAGACAGACAGATATCTTTGGGCGGAAGCTATAGGTAGTGAGTAAAAACTAGCTCCTTCTGGTGTTTGGCTGCAAAGAGGAAGTGAAAGATGGACCAGAAGTTGAAGTTTTTTTTCCACTACCCTTACTGACTTTGATATCATGATTTCACATCGGAGTTTTTCACCTATGCATTCAATGTTTTAAAGGGAAGCATTTTTCTAGTTCCAAGCATAATAAAGACAGGCAACTTTTACATATAATGTTCCACATTTAAAATACAATTGCTGGTGTCGGCTATTGTTAGGCATGGTACAGGTAACAGCTTTTTATAGGGGCCAAGATTAGAGTTTCATCTTTCCTGTGAGAATTTAAAAAGCTAATTAGAATGAAACTGAACGATGGCACTTAGAAAGTTCAGTTGGCTAAACTGAGGCTACTTAGGTGTCATTATTTGGGTGTTGAGTAGATCTGAAACTCAGGCTAGCCTCAGTCTCTGAAGTCAGTAATTTCTTTGAAGAATGACATAAATAAAAGATTTTGCTGCATATATTTTTTGACACTAAAAATTTGAGAGGTTGATAATCTCTAATCCACTCTAAAAAAGGATATTTTTAAAAAGGGTGTTATTCACAGAGACGTATGTTATTGATCTATTTTTAATAACAGTACAAGAAATATCCACTTATAAAAAGTTTTCTTTACATTCTGGGCAAGATGGAAAGAGGTCCATTGCAGTGAAATTTCTGTGGAATTAGAGGTTGATGAGATAGGGGCTTCACCTTAGAGATTTTAAATTGGAGCTTCTAGAAATGCTTCCGGGGCCACCAAATGGGCCGACAAGATGGTTAGGGTGACACGGCCAATGGGTCCTAAGGGAAAAAAAATGTGCAGACAGAGCTGAGGGAGTTTGTGTTGGAGAGTAAGGAAAAACATGTAGATTTGATGAGAAAAAATTTATTTTCCCACAATATTAGCCATTTTAATTAAAAACAAACTCCTACATACTTATTAAACCATTATCACTTGACAGTAGAATACATTATCTTTTCCCTTCTCATTTACCTTGTGTCAATGGACCACAAGGGGCTAGGAAAGAGTATAAAACATTATCAAACTATCTAGTAGGGAGATAGAAACAGGGAAGTAGTCTGGTCAGGATTAGTGCCAGGCCACTCGTGACTTCAGTGTAGCCCCAGGAGGGGTGAGGCTCAAGGCTGAGCCATCCAGGGATGTTGGAGTAGCCATTCATTACTGCTGCTCCTCCCAGCTACTCTGCTATTATTTTCCATCTTTTGGGACTCCAGGGCATTTCCCTGAGTGTTGGTGTTGGCTATATCACGTGGTACTTTGAGTGAAATATAGCGTCATGTAGTGGAAAGAGCCCTGGCATTGTGGTGATATAGACCTAATTACAGTTCCTGGTTCTGACACTTACTGAGTGATGTTGGGGAGGTTATTTAACTCCTCTGAGTTATGTGTTCCTGTAATTAGGGCTAATAGTTCTCACCTGAAAAGATTAAATAAGATAATGTGCATAAATCACGTGGCTCATAGTGGGGACTCAACAAGTAATCCTTTTTGCTAGGAACATTGAACACATATATCACTGGAAATAATATTTTATTTTTATTCATTCATTCATTCATTCATTCATTTATTTTTGAGGAAGATTAGCCCTGACCTAACACCCACCACCAAGCCTCCTCTTTTTGCTGAGGAAGATTGGCCCTGAGCTAACATCCATGCTCATCTTCCTCTACTTTATATATGAGATGCCTACTACAGTGTGGCTTGATAAGCAGTGCGTAGGTCCATGCCCGGGATTCAAACTGGTGAACCCTGGGCCACCGAAGCAGAGCATGCGAACTTAACTGCTATGCCACTGGGCCAGCCCCAGAAATAATGTTTTATTTAAACATTACGAATAATGTTTTATTAATAGAAGAGTCACTAATATCTTATATTTTCTAGACCACCATGGGATTTTAGACCTTCTATTTGTTCCACAATGGCCTTGTAACAGGTGGGAAAAGCATTAAACTTGAGAAACAAAAATATGGTAAAGCAATCTCCTGAACAAACTAGGAGGTTTATTTTTCTCTTGCAAAGAGCAGTCCAGAGATAGATAATCCAGGACTATTGTGGCAGCTGTACGATACTGTCCAGGAACTAGGCTCCTTCTTATTTCCTGCTCGGCCCTTCTCAGTGTGTGCCTTTAGTCCTTGTGGTTCGTCCATGGTTCCAAGACGGCTGCTCCTACCTTCTGCATGGCATCTTAGTTTCAGAGAAGGGGAAGGGTGAAGTGTAGAAGGCCAAGTTCTTCTAGCTGACTTTCACATAAGAGCCAACAAGGTAAAACTGGGATGTCCAAGAGAAAGCGAGTGGGTTCCTTGGAAGCTATTCCTAGAAAGTATCCCAGAGGCTCTGGGGTGGAGTCACTGAGGTGTTTATAGGATACCAGAGGCTAGTCATTGGCGGGGAGAAAGAGTTAAGGGCCGTGAGCTTGTTTAGATGTCTTATCTCATTTGACTCCATTCAACTAGGCCTTCTGGAGAACGCCTTGCTACCAAAGGCGTGAAAATATCAGACCCTCTAGCAGGAGATTGGATCTGGTTAGAGCCAGTCCTGAATATAAGGTAAAGAAGAGATACCTGCTTTTCTCTATCCAACTCTCTGCAGGAAGTGCTGACCATCTGGCAGTCCCTGACACAGAGGAAAAAGTGACGAGCCTCAAGCTAGAAAGCTTCAGGGTCAGTCCCAGCTTTGCCACTCATTAGCTACTGGAGCCGAGTCTCTGCAAAGAAGGGGTTATATATATAACTCTTAAAACGTTGTTGTGGAAACCAAATGGGATAAATTATAAATTACTATAAAATCAGCTAAAGTGTTATTATTAAACTTTTCTCCTTGCCCAGCAGAACCTAGAGGGGCAGCAGAAGCCTGGCTTGGGAGGAGAGTTGAGGTGGGATATGTGTAGCAGACCAAGGAGAATCTAAAAGACAACAGCCATATGGAATCGTACATACGTTGTCTTTTTGTCTGGCTTTTTTCATTTAGCATGTTTCAAACTTCATCCATATTGTAGCACTTATCAGTACTTTATTCCTTTTTATTGCTGAGTCATGTTTCACTGTATGAATGTACCACACGTTATGTATCCATTCATTTGTTGATGGACATTTGAGTTTTTTCTATTTTTTGGCTGTTATGAATAATGTTGCTATAACTCTTGTTTGTGGACATATATTTATAACTAAGGGAATATAAGGGAAGACCGAGAGAAGTCTGCTCTGTGAGGGTTTGTCTGCTGCAATGATTCCTTGAGAGGCTGCCATTCTTCTCTTGCTGTCAGGCACTGGAAGCAGAACTCAGGCGACTTCCAAAGAGTGAGATATCAAGAGTCAGGTAACCCCTGCTGTCTCCCTCCCCTCTCTCACTCTAGTGCCAGGGCTCTGGTCTAGTCTTGCAAATCACCCATGGTGAGCATTATCGCTGGCTGCTAAGGAAGGAGTTGGCTTGGTTTAGAAGCCAAATTCTGCCTCTACACCTTGGGCATAGTCTCCCTGAGCTTCCGTTGTCTTATCTGGGAGATGGAGGTAACAATAGCTACCTTGCAGATTTTATTTAAGGATGAGAGACAGTGCTTGTGAGGTACCCTCTTCAGAACAGGTGCTCAACTAACAGATATTAATGCTATTGGCAATTGCCCCATGCAGTAGGATAACTGAAAACATAATGGGCGGAGGTCAGAGATAGTGTGGCACGAAGCTCTTTGAATGACTTAGCTATTTTGGGAATGATTAAATCACTTTTTCCATAAGTTCTCTGTTAGTTTGCTAGGGCTGCCATAATAAAATACTACAGACTGGTTGACTTAAACAATAAAATTTATTGTCTCACAGTTCTGGAGGCTAGAAGTCCAAGATCAAGGTGTCAGTAAGCTTGATTTTTTCCGAGGCCTCTCTCCTTGACTTGCAGATGGCTGCCTTCTCTCTGTGTCCTCACATGGACTTTTCTCTGTGCACCCACATCCCTAATGTCTCTTTGTGTGTGCAAATTTTTCCTCTTATAAAGTCACCAGCAGATGGGATTAGGGCCCACCCTAACAGACTTGTTTCAACTTGCCCTCTTTAAAGGCTCTGTCTGCAAATATAGTCACATCCTGAGGTATCGGGGGTTAGGGCTTCAACATATGAATTTTGGAGGGACACAATTCAGCCCATAACAAGCACCTAGGGAGTGCCTGCTCTGCCCCAGATGCTGAAAATATATAAGGGAAAGACTCAGGCCTAGCCCACAGGACACTCTCAGCCTTTTAGGAGAGAGAGACAAATATACAAGATAATTGTAAAATGCCTTCTCTCTGTTTACCCTGCCCCTTGTCTCACGACCAAATGTGCAGTGTCTACAAACGCATCATCAGATAACTCAGCATTTTGATCACCTCAGAATCCCAGCTCAATCAGCTGCGAACTCTCCAGGTCTTTACTAGCTCAGGGAAAGAATTTATCAGAGCCCATTTAGAAACAGGAAATAGATTAGCCAAGAACCCAGAGAAGAGGAGCCAGACTGAGAAGAAGTGTACAAGTAGTTGAGATTGACGATTGTCTTTACATGTCTCTTTTCCTCCCCTTTCAGCCAAAGTTTAAGCAATCCCCCAGCATAGCCAGCGAGGGGCTGCCCCACACTCCCTGTGTGCCCAGTGGCCCAAATTCAAGGCTGTTCCATCCCCTCCCCACCCCCAACCATACCTCCCCTATGTCTTTGCTCTGCTTTCCAAGGCATGAAGTTAAGAATTATTGAGCACCTACTGTGTGTTGGGCAATAATTAGACACTTTATATATGTCATCTAATTTGATCCTCAAAACATCTCATTTTACAGATGAGGGAGATGGCCTATAACACACTCAAGGTGACACGTCAGTAAATAGCACCCTTTAGATGCAGATCTTTCTAACTTCACTAACCCTTCAGACTCTCAGCTATCAGTGGAGTGCACAGCTGCTGGTCTCTGTGAAGGTAATGCTGCGACTGATTACAGCGGTCGGCAGTCTTAGGTTGCGTTCCCTTGAAGCAGTGTCTGAGAGGAATTTGGGCATCTGTGACTTACTGAGGGTGTGCTCTCTGGGGAAAGGAGAAAAGGAAGCAGGAAGGGGTGGCAAGGGAAGGAGCTGAGCAGGATCTGCTTTCTGATGGTCTAGCTTCAGTCTGATCCCACAGTGAGCTCTGAAGCACAAATCACCTGGAGAATTGCTCTACTTTGAGGCAAGAGACTCATCTGTCTATTCCAGATCAGGCAGTCACTGGATGCAGGTTGTAGTGCGTGGGGAGCATGTGTAGACAGGCAGCCCCACCAGCTGAGGGCCAATCTCCGGAGGAGGTCCAGCTTGAGCCTGCAGCCCCGAAGCACGAGCACGAGTCTGGAAAATGGTCTGGGCACCAACAGCTTCCCCTTCTCACCAACTTTAGGGGAATTGACATGCTAAAAGGTGCCCCCAGGGAAAACAATGCCTTCATCCAAAGGAATGGATCTTCACCACTTCAGGTCCTATGGTGGGTGAGTTATTGTAGGAGATAGTTTTGCATGAGAGGGCTGGAGATGAGGGCTTTCAGAACCCCCAAGTTATACGTATAAACAGCTGTCTGATAATACTGCTGTAAGTCCAAATAGCATTGATAGCTTACAGTGATTTTTTGCATACATTATTTATTTGATCATCACAACAACCTTATAAAATAGATGGCAGGTTTCATTAGCCCATTTTACAGGGAGATTAAGTGGTTCAATTGTAGAACGTGGATGCGATAGAGCTGAGCCTAGCACTTGCTTCTGACTTGAGATCTAATTTCCATCTAACATTCCATACACTGTCTGGTTGTGTATGGGCTCTGCAAAAAAACGTGATACCCCACCTAGCGTGACCAGCCATCCTGTTTGCCCGGGACTTCCCTGGTTTTAAAACTGGAAGGCTCACATTCAGGGAAACCCAGGACCAACTGATTTATTTGTTAAGCAAAAAAGACAGTGCCTGGGGTCCACAATACCTTTAGGGGCCTACAAATGGGTTCCAATTTCAATTCCTTCTAACAGCAGAAGAAAAAATGAATATTATAATAATAATGAATATATTGTAATAGAGCCAGGCTGGATTATTATTCATCTTTATACTAACACAGTCATAAAATATAATTTTTAAGTGTGTGTGTGTGTGTGTGTGTGAAAGAAGGCCATGAAAGCAAAGGTACCTAGGATTCACAGTCAAAATGCAGCTCTGGAAACCCAGTCAGTCCCGGGCAAACTGGGACTGTGGCTCCCTCAACTCCCTAACAGTCTAATCGTAGCAGTTGGTCATAGCGAAGAAACTTTGGGCTTTCCCATGCAGTGGTTGCCTAAAATCACCCGTGTTTCCCCAGATCTGTGATTTCCTTGCCTCTGGCTACTTCCCTTCTGATCACACATCAGTTGCCTGGGTTCACTCTGGCTTCCCTAGGGAAGGGCTGACGAGATTCCCAGGGCACCCTGCATACTGTGCAGTCAGCTCCATGTCTCTGTCTCCCTACTGACCTGACCAGACACTTGCCTTACTCATCTTTTCCCCCCTAGTTCCTGGATCAGTGCCAGACACTCAATACTTATTTATTTTAAACTTTGTTTTTTAAAGATTGGCATTTAAGCTAACATCTGTTGCCATTCTTTTCTTCTTCTTCTTCTTCTTTTTCTTCTTCTTCTTCTTCTTCTTCTTCTTCTTCTTCTTCTTCTTCTTCTTCTTCTCCTCCTCCTCCTCCTCCTCCTCCTCCTCCTCCCCCCCCCCAGTATGGCTTGATGAGCCGTGATAGGTCCGTGCCCAGGATCCAAACGAGTGGAACCCTGAGCCGCCAAAGTGGAGCATGTGAACTTAACTACTTGGCCACGGGGCTGGCCCCTGCTTACTTATTGATTGAATAAATGAATTAATTGATGACCTGATTCAGCTAATTGCTTGTTATATAACATTAGGGACACTAAACACTCTTGGTGTTCTTCATCTATAAAATAAATTCTTTGGGATAGATGGACTCTAAGATTCCTAGGGGACACTTTATGTCGTGTATTCATTATACCAGATCATGTGACTTTGTCAATGTCATTGAAGAATGTGTCTTGTCAGCAAAGAAAGAGTCACTTGTAGATTCTTAGAGTCATTGTTGTGTTTTCCCCACCCCTATTTTTTTTTTAGATCCTTACCGGAAGGCAGCATGTCCAATTTTACCTTGAGAAAAACATCTCCTACAGGAAATGGTAATGTAGATGATGTTTCTCTTACTCAGAAAACTTAAAAATCCAGGAAAAACAACTCAAAGGTCCTAGTTCTTTTGTTTTGGGTTTTTTTTTTTTTTTTTTTGCTGAGGAAGATTTGTCCTGAGCTAGCACCTGTGCCAATCTTCCTCTACTTTTTAGTATGTCAGCATGGCCGCTAACAGAGTGGTGTAAGTTGGCTCCCAGGAACCCAATCCAGGAAGCCAAAGCAAAGCATGCTGAACTTAATCACTAGGCAACCGGGGCTGGCCCCCTAATTCTTTTATATAGATATTGAAAGCTTAGAAGCAACAGTCTAATTTAATTAGCATTGCTTAAGTTAGGCTTAAGAAAAAAAAAGTGCCACAGTTTTAACTCATGTAATTGCAATTTAAATATATTATTTTAATCAATAAATATGCCCTTTCTTACCTGTGACCTTCTTTGCTGCTTGCTCTCATGAGATCAAAGAATTAGTTATTTGTAGTGAAATGCACCAGGACTTATTGACTGTTATTTACCAGGTACAACAAACAGTCCTGTGTGTACTTCTGAGGTGTGTTTCTTTTTGAGTAAAATGACCAACCCTACTACTCAGCCATAAAAAAAGACAAAATCATCCCATTTGCAACAACATGGAAGGACCTAGAGGGAATTATGCTAAGCGAAATAAGCCAGACTGAGAAAGACAAACACCAGATGATTTCACTCATATCTGGAATATGAACAAACACATGGACAAAGAAAACAGTTCAGTGGTTACCAGAGGAAGGGGGGTGGGCACAGGGGAGTGAAGTGAGGGGGAGCACTTATGTGGTGACAGTCAAGAAATAATGTACAACTGAAATCTCACATCGGTGTAAACTATTAGGAACTCAATTAAAAAAAAAAAATCAAGTTTGGAAAAAAAAAGAAGAAAAATGACCAACCCACTAAACCCTGGCTTGGTTTATCCCAGGCCTGTGGGTCTACATTCCCAGGTGCCAGATGGGACCTCATGAGCTGCACTGGCAGTTTCAGTTGGCACCTGAGCAGTTTTATATGTTATCTTTGATGATGGGGTGTGGGATTTCTTCTTTCTTGCTGGTATGTCCTACTTTGAAACAGTACTGGACTTGCCAGCCTAGAAGATTGACGCTGGCCCATCAGATGTGCGTCTCGAGATTTCCAGGTTAACAAACCCACACTCAACTCCAGGCAATTACATCTCCCAGGTTTTCATTTTTCTGTTGATAGATATGAAGAGTACCACTCAGGGGACCACACTGAGGCAGCAGGGCTTTCTTGAGATGAACAAAAGAAGGACTTTCTTACAGGATAACAGCTGGATAAAGAAACGTCCTGAAGAAGAAAGGTAAGAGGGTATGGAGAGAGGGGAAGGTGGATGAGCAGAGAGAGCCATTCTCTGTTTGGGAAGCTAATGGCCATCTGAAAAGCACATACTCTCCTTCTAAAACACTTTGTTGCATGGCCTAATTTTTGGGAAAATTTAGCAAGCATAAATTTGTTATATCATATTTTCAAGAATAGCTACCAGTTTTAATATTCACATAGCTAAGAGAATGTGAGTCATTAGTGAGAGAAAGCAGGGTTTCATTGTTATAACTGGAATAGACATTTGTGCCTACTTGAGAAACTGAAAAGAAAACATGGCTTTCCAGTTTCCGAAAAGCTAATATTTAATCCATGGTAGGGACAGTCCTGGGGCATGTTGATGATGTCAGTTGAAACAAACGCATAGTAGTATTACTCCAAATTTACAAATTTAATAATCATTTACCTAAAATTTCTTTTTTTTTTTTAAAGATTGGCACCTGAGTTAACATCTGTTGCCAATCTTCTTTTTTTTTTCCTTCTTCTCCCCAAGGTCCCCCAGTACATAGTTGTAGATTCTAGTTTTGTGAGTGCCTCTGCTTGTGCTGTGTGGGACACTGCCTCAGCATGGTCTGATGAGTGGTGCCATGTCCACACCCAGGATCCAAACTGGTGAAACCCTGGGCCGCTGAAGTGGAGCACGCAAACGTAACCATTCAGCCACAGGGCGGCCCCAATCTAAAGTTTCTTTATGCTCAAGTGAAGTAAATTCTCAGCTCATTTAAGTCCTGACTGGGCCATATACCTCTAGGTATTGGAAAGGTGGTGGTAGATTTGTAAGGGAAAATATTAACCACCAAGAAGGTTTTGTCTGCTTTGAGATGTGCTTCTGTTAGGTATATGTTTAAAGATCTAAAAACTATGACCATAGGCACATTGCCTCATTGCCAACATAGATTTACAATTGACACTTGTCCAGCCTAGATATATTTATCATAAATTATATATATATATATATATACAAATATGTATACTTTTTTGATTCCTCTTATGTGTCAGGCTTGATACTGGGTACTTTACATATAAAGCATTATTAAATCTCACAACAATCACACAAGGTAGGTATTATATCATAATTTTACAGAAGAGGAATCTGAGGCTCAGAGAAGTTAGTAACTTGTCCAGTGGCACGCAGCTATTAAGTGGTGGAGTTGAGATTTTTAACATGACCCATTGCCTTTCCGTTATACCGCTAGTTCTCAATCAGGGGCAGTTTTATCCCCAGGGGACATTTGACAAGGTCGGGAGACATTTTTACTTGTCAAAATTGGGGATTACTCCTGATATCTAATGGGTGGAGGTCTGGGATGCTGCTAAGCAGCCTACAATGCACAGGACACTCCTCAAAACAAAAATTTATCAAACCCATGTCAACAGTGCTGAGGTTGAAAAGCCCTGCATTACAGAATACTTACTGTAAACCTTTTGCTAAACTGTCCATATGTGCTTATTTGAGGAGCCATACTTGTAACTGTTAAATAAAAATGTCTATTAACTTCTGGTATTAAATATTATTATTTTGAGGAACTATAGGGGTTTTTGGAGACTCACACTAACTTTTAGAGTTAACACTCTTGGACAGCAATCATTTCCTTCGATGAAGCAAATTTACTTCTTCAACTGTTGAAGCCTAATGAAGCATTTCTATTTTCCCATAGTGGTAGAGTGATGTCAAATGTAGATCATAAATTTTGGGTTGCAAACATTTGCACAGATGGGTAAAGATAGAGATGTCTAAGACAAATTACAGTTGGTAGGAATGATGGTTTTATGCCAGGCATGCCTCCTTAAAAAGGCCCAGGGAAGCCAGCTTGGCTGGCATGGCAGCTGCTGAATGAAAGGGAAATTGGCTCTGATGCTTCTCTCACTCCCACTGGCCCAGTTCTGGGCTATGTGTTATACTTCTACTTCAGGTAAAAACACGTCTGGTGTTTGCTACTCTCTCACAAGCTCAGGGAGGGGATAACAAGAGGGATGAAAAGGTTCTCTTGGGGTCCCTGAGGGTGTATATTTGCTGGAATTGTTTCAGTTTCACTGTTCAACTTTCCTTTTAATTATGTACTATAGTTCTTTTATAGCTTTATTATAAATGGTTCCAGAGTGTTGAGTAATGTTAGTGGAGCAGAACCAGGAGAAATGTGGTATATCAGGTTTGGTTAGGTTGATATGAAAAAGGTTCAGATACTGCATTGGCTCAAGGCCAAAGGCTCTACTACAAGCTTTGACATTTCCTAAAATTGCCTGTACTTTCAGGTCTGCTATAGGTCTGCTTATATATAAGTAAGAAAGACATAGCTTTGGGACTTTATGTAGGAAGGTCTGTTGCAGGGTGGACCAAGAGGAAAAGCAGAGGTTTGGAATAAAAAGATTGAGTCCTAGATCCACCTCTGTCACTTGCTAACCTTTTGGCCTTGGGAAAGCCACAAAATCCATGATCAATGTCCTCATCTGTGAACTGGATATGAGGGTGTCTTCCCTGCTTAATTTACAGGATTATTTTAAAGACCAAACAGAGCAAACTATGTGTTCTCACGGTTCAAAAATGGCTAAATTTCCCTTCAAATGATAAACATCCTTAACCACAAATATTGGTGCTTATTTTCCTACTTTTAGTCAAGGACACTATCAAGTCTATCAAAAGAAAATTTCCAGACATAATAGGCATAATTAAATTTAAAACTTCTTGGTAGAAAGCTTTTGCCTTCCTATAGAAAAGGACTTCTCTAGTACATATAAAGTAGATGACCGCATGTTCTCATATTTTGGTAAAAACAAAGAAACAAACAAAACAAGAAACACTCATTCCATTGTTGAATCACATGGAAATCTCGTGGGATAAGTTAGAATAATGGTCATTTGTACTGACAAACTTATTTCTTTTCACCATGATGTTTCATGTGCTGACTGGTTAAAATAAATACGTAGTTGTGTTTTCATGCCTGAAGTAAAATGAATTAACCTTGCCAAAACTTGTGAGCTCTTTCCTGTCTCCTTTATTTAGTGCTTACTAAATACTGTGGTAACTTTTCACATGACTTAATTTTGTTCTTTCTCTGTAGAGATGAAAATCATGGCAGGGTGGTGCTCACCCGACATAATTCCCATGATGCCTTGGACAGGTGAGTGTTTCAGACAAGTTACATCATTAGCAGAAACACAAAGACGGTAGTTTTGAGAGAAGACTTGTTTAAGACACGCTGAATATTTGTGGCTAGCCTCAGGCTTTCCCTGATGTTCTGAGCACGTGAAGGAGAATCTGTGATATCATCAGGGGTTTCTACAGGGTAAACTCTGCTTCTCCAGCTCCGTGCTTCCAGAACTACAGCCTGGAGGTGTCGAAGAACCAATCCTCCGCCTGCCCCACTGCGGGGGCCCTCCTGATGGGAAAGGGAAAGGGCTCCCACAGAAACATCACCAGATGAAACATCTCTGAACCTTAGGGAAAGGAGACCTAAAATACAGACAGAGCTCCAAGTTCACTTGCTGTATTGGACAGTACACTTCTTTTAGAAACTCTTAGGCTTGTGGAAAAACACTAAATGATACTCAGTGGCAATTAGACTGGCAAATACAAATTAGTAGGAAAAATCAGACAAAATTAGTAATCACAATGATGTAAATAATCTAAGATTGATCAAGTAATTAAATAATATTCTTATTAAAACACGTTTACACACAAACACAAACAAACAACCACACCCATCAGAAGAAACTAATTCTTTATCAAATACAATTTTATCTGCTCTAGTAGGCTCTGTGTCACCAAAAGGTACTTGGTAAAGGAGTGTGATTGTCTTTCTTTGTGTGGACTTTAAAAAGTTAAGTAGACACCTTGAATATGACTACTTTAGAAACTTTTATGTATGAATTTCTCTAAGCCCTCTTTTACCCTTGTGCGTAATTTTGACTTGTTCTAAGGGTCCTGAGCTTATAGCCCTCTGCACAAAGAATCTGATTGGTTTTCTGGTTTCCAGCCTTACTCCATTTGATTGACTGTTCTGTGATTCAACAGATTCTACCTGTGTCCTCTCCATGGTTTTCATGATTTTGAAGATTACAGCCTTGTTCTCAGTTGGGCTTCATCTCACCAAACAAAGGGAGCCTGATCTTTGAGTTCAGCCACCAGTGGACATGGCCCCCTCCATTTTATTTGCATTTCTCTGGAACTATTAACGAAAGGGACATACTGGTTTTGAAGTGTAACTGGGAAAACTAAGCTTTATGTTCTTTGTATGTTTTAGGACAACAGAAGCTTAATGCCTTGTGTGCTTATTTGGTATTTTAAGCTGTATCGGTTTTCTGAACCCTTCCTGTTGGTGGATAGCATTTTAGCTAAAGTAGCACATTGAGGTTTTACCTTCAGTAGCAAAAATCTGTAAGCCTGAGACATTTTCACCTTGACCTATAACTAGTGTCTCAAACTACATCTTCCTAAAAAGGTAGTGTAGATTATTTTTCTCCTTGCATTTGTTCAAATGGATGCCCACTTGGCACTTTCCTGCCCTTGTGCAGAAGCTGTTTGGTGCTTCACTCAACACTGCTTTAGAGCACCTACTTCATGCTGACATTGTGCCAGGTGCTGGGAGTACAAAGATGCTTGACACTACCATGACTTTAAGGAGCTCTCAAATTCGTGGAAAGAGATGGGTCCATAAACTAAAACACTAACATTTGCTATGGAAAGTGCTACTGTAGAAGTGTGTGACAGTGCTGTTGGAATAGAGAGACTAACTCTGCCTGAATAAATCGGACCTCACCAAGGAAGTGGTCTTTGGGGTTGCTGCTGCTGCTTGAAGGGTGAGGAGGAAAAGTTTACAAGTAAGAAAGGGTGGCTGGTGGGCATGGAGCAGGGAAAAGAATGCTTCCTGTAGAAGTGACAATGTGTGCAAAGAGCTCTGCATAGGCAGACTGAAAATAAAGGAAAAGGAAGATAAACAATATATTCTCATCACCTTAGATAACTGCTTCGTATTATGCACAAACTAAGAAATTTTGCTGTGTACTTCCTCTGCCAGATCAATAAAACATGTCAAATAAGGCTGATAGCACAAATGCCTGCAGGGATGCCTACTGTGAGCCAGACACTGGCCTAAGGACTGGGAACAAAACAAAGTCCCTGCTTTCATAGAACTTGCATCCTAGTTGAAGGTGGGTGGTGAGGACGACTGAAAATAAATAAACACAATGTACTATGTCGTGTTGCCACAAGTGCTAGGAAGACTAAAGCCAACTAATGAGATGTAAAGTGATGGTGTCTGTGAAGGGGCTGTTTTATAGAAGGGGGTCAGATGGCCCCACCTATTTGCATTCACCCATTACACACGATGCTGAACCATACCATGATTTCACTCCGGGTTTCCTTAAAAAGTTGGGTAATTGCATTAGGCATTTTTCTTTACTTTTTTTCTTGCCTTTATGGACATTATTCCCTCTACTTCTGTTTGAAAATGTTCATATCTGTTTATCCTCCAAGACGCAGCTCAAACTGTACCTCATCCATAAAGCCTTCTGATTCCTACCTCTGGAAATAAAGTTTCTCAACTTAGAACTTCCTTGCACTTCACCTGAGCCTCTTTTACAACACTGACCATTTTCTACCTTTGGATGTACGTATCTAATTTGTCCCTCTAGCTCTGTGTGTGTAGTGTCCGCAGTTATTTCATTCTTGACTTCCTCATAGTCATCGCACAGTGTGTTATATATTGTTTACCTCCAAATATTTACTTAATAAAAATTTACTACATTAAGTTAAAAATTAAATCTTATATATACTGTTTTAGTAGTTTTACTGATTCAATACCTTTGATCTGTCAGCTTCAAATGAAGCTTTGAAATGCAAACACAATAAACCATGGTATAATTTCTCAAAGAGCTTGTTTTCCCTCTACCATGGGCTCATATAAGGCATTAAACAGGATTTTGTTTTTTGCTGATTTATGCCTGATCAAGATATTTCCACTGCTTTGATGAACATGATTCCTATTATTGAAGCTTCTTTCCTCTCTTTCCTTGTTTTCTTGTCTTCTTCCTGTCCCCTTTTTTCTGTGTATCTGTTTTCCTCTACTGTCTCTGCCTCTGTCTCTCCTCTTCCTCCTTCTCTCTATCTCCTCTCTCTTCTCCTTTTCTTCCCACGTCTATCCTTTCTCTCTCCTCCCACTTTCTTCTTTTCATTTCTTTCCAGCGTTTCCTGTTTCTCTCTTTTCCTCTTTCTTCCCTCTCCTTCCCTCCCTATTGCCAGCAAATTCTCTTCTTTCAACCCTGTCCACGGTGCTGAAGTTTAAATATAGCAATTTGTGTTTAGCCTGTTATACTGGCTTATGGTGCTGCTGAAACTCTGCAAACAAGACATAGCCGATTATAAGGGATTGAGTACCTATTATGTAAAAATCAACAACATTGACAAGAGTACATATTAGTTATTAACCATTTTGCATGTTGTGTTATATGGTTTTATATGTCCTTATCCCCAGTTTGAATGTGTTACATTGTAGTTAGAAATAATCAGACCTAGAGAAGAACTCCTTTATTAGCATGGGGAATTGGGTTTTCCATAATTTATTCTATTCAAGTCAAAACGTTGGAAGTTTGGATACCCGAAATCTGTCTTTTCTTGATAATATGTACATTTCCTACCTGAATAGGTCAAAATTTTACTAAATACATGATAGGCATTATAAACTATTTTTTTTGAAATTTATTTGATCTTTTTGTGATTTTTTTTTTTTTTGCAACAGGAAAACAAATGAGAGAGATGAGCCAAAAGCCACAATTAGTCGGTACAGATCTGATGACACTTTGGACAGGTAAGGTGTTTTTGAACCTTGTAAGCGGAATGCGAAACATGTTAAATCCTATTTCTTATAAAGCATGAAGTATTTAAACGTTTACCAAAGTAAGCTTTGAACCATTGATATTTTATCCCCAGAGACAGAAGGGCTATAAGGACTGAATTATCTTTTTCTTCACAACTCATAAAATCTTTTTTTCTAAAAGATTTTTCTAAAATCCTGCTAATAGTCAATTGATATAAAGATTCCAAAGAAATTGCATTGAGTATAGGTAGAGTGGGCACTACGTGGCATCTGTTCAATTTAAAATAGAGAAAATATTTATTTTTGTGAATATGAGTAGTCAGTCCTTGTTCTAACTTTTGGTCCTTCTATCCTGATGGTGGAGAAACAGCAGTTTCTGTACAACTACTTTCTGGAGAGACTGTAAATTTTAACAATACAATAGGTTTGATCTATTCTAGGATAAAGACATTACCTCTTTACCTTGGAAAGTGAAACTGCTCTTTTGGCACTGGAGTCACCATATGGCTCATAGAATGAATCTATTAAGTGTGCCTGCTGTTAGTTCTCTCTTGCTCAGAGGGAAAGGGCTCATCTGTATAGAGAAAAGTAGCAATGTCTATTCAGGTTGATGTGTACATGCCACAAATCACATTTTTATTTTATATTTGGTAGAGATGCTTAGTAAGCATAAGAAAAGAGTTAACATTTTTAATTGGAGTCTCTACATAATAGACACCCGAGGCCATTGAGAGTTGAGGTCACTCCCTGTAGCCAAAGACGTGCTGCTAGTGTAGACAAAAATGTCCTCTGCCGCATTTTAAGCAGATACGCTGAAACTTATGGTATCTAACAGATTCTATATTCAGACTATGCCAGTGTTAATTAATATAGCAAATGTGTATCCTTCTGCACTCTTCATAGGTTTTTTTAAGTCAGTCTCCCTAATAGAGGACTGGTATCCCTAAGGGGCTGGCCTCACTCTTGTAGTTAAAGCCTTGACAAAAATGAGTTTGTAGAAGTATGTGTGCAAGATCTCGTCTCCACAGCAGCGTGTGGAGAGATGAGTCAGAGGACCTCTGTTCATTCACTCTCGCCTTGCAGACTGTCCTATTGCATCGTTAACTGAATAAGAAAACGCTATTTCTAAGAATGAATTTGATATTGAGATAATTAGGCCTCAAGAAACGATATAATATTTGGGAGACTTAAGCTTTTGTGGGCTGAGTGTCTGAAAGTTTCTCTCAGGTTGGTCAAGACAGAACCTTGGAACATTAGCAGTGGACCAGACCAGACCAGACGGCACAGGCAAACTCGTTGAGTCGTTCTCAGCTTGGTCTGCAAATTAGAAACACAGACTGAACTTTAAAATTCTACTGGCAATTTGATCCTACCACCTCTCACCCTACCCCCAGATTCTGATTTAATTAGTCTGAGGTGAGACTCAGGCATGTTTAAACCTTAGGAAGTGATTCTAATGTGAAGCCAAAATTCAGAACCACAAATCTAGCCCGACCCCTTCATTTTTCTACACTAGGAAATGAGGACAGAGATTACATGCTTTAATTACATGGAGGTTTAAGGCATGTTTGGAAGAAGTATCCTGGTCAGCTCATTCCCCTGGCAGTCCTGTCTCCCAACAGTAAGCTACATCTCTGTAAGAGTGGAAATAGATGTGAGGGAGAGAACACAGGGGTCAGTGAAGAAAGGCAAGTTCTGTTAGCAGGAGTCAGACTTTTATAACGTAGGCCACTCCAAATGCGAGATGTGAAATAATTTTAGGAGGAAGATGATTAAATACATCTGTTGTGTGCATTTCAATAATACTGTGTTTATTTTAAATGAATATGAGAAAAGTACTGAGTTTACATTTAAAGAGTTCCCTTTTAAAATATACACATGTAGGTAAAAATATGAGATGTTTTACAGGGACGTCAGTAAATAATAGTGTGTGCAGTATGCATTATGTCCTGAATCCTGAGGGTAGTTTAATTACTAAGTTGGAAAACCGAGGTTAGGGAGACCTCTAGTGTTCTGTGGTGGAAGTGTAACTTTTCCTTGGCTGCTTTCGATCATATTGCTGCTTATATTGTTTGAGTATTTCCTGTCTCCAAGACTGACTCATAGTAAAACAATCTATTTTATATCAGAAGTTGGCAGAAACTTAATTTCCAAGAGAAGTACAAACTTAATTTCCCTAATAAGAAATTGCAATATACTTTGGAATGGTGGTTTAGAGTTTTCTCCGTTGTTGTTCATAGACTGATACCCCTAGTGGCATGGGAGAGAAAGAATAATAACTGAAGGAAGACACATTGACCTAACATATGAGTCTTGGAACAATCACCCCACAGAATCAGGCGTATGACATTGGGCCCTACTGAAAAGATTTTAGAGAGAGGCTACTTCCTAGCTGTGTGGCCAAGAGAAAGTCACCCACCTTCTCTGAGACTTCATTTTTTCATCTATAAAATGAAATAATTACACCTACTCTGTAGGTGTAATTCCTCTGAAGAGTAGAGGAAAATGTATAAAATGAGTGGCAAAGAGTAGTGGGTATCTATTTTTATTATTACGTGCAGTAAGTATTGCCCATAAAGATTTACACTGTAGAATTTAACTTCATTCGATTTTAACATCTGACTCACCTTTATTTATACTTTGAGAAGGTTTGATATTAAAGTTCTGTTTGCTTTAGACAGATTGTTGTTTTCACTGTACCAGAGCAGCAATTTCCCAAGATTATTTTTATCTTGAATGAGGGTCTCACAGAGAGCTATAGAGTCTAAGTAGAGTTCCCAAGGAACATAAGATTTAAGACTTAGGGTTTCCTGACATCCTACTGATGGTATTCACGGTGTTTTGCTGCAAAGCCCTTTGAATGTAAACATCTCAGAGGCTCAGTAGCAGGGGAGATGTTCATAGTCTTTGGCCTGATGACCACCTTAGGTGTGAGTTTTTATACGTGGGTTCTAGGATTCTGTACAAGTCACTTCCTGTACTGTGAACAGTCTCTTGAGGTTATGGGGCTTGTAGGATTCCAGCCTTCCTTCCTTTTTGCATTCAAGAGTTATCAGTTTGTGGCAGTATGTACCATAAATAGAAAGTGTGTTTGGGGTTGACTCATAGAATTTTAATATATTAGAGTTTAAATATTTACCCAATATTTAATTTTGGAGTTAAATATTTATGCAGTATTTTATTTTATTTTACTTTACTTTATTAATTTTTTTTTAAGATTGGCATCTGAGCTAACATCTATTGCCAATCTTCTTTTTTTCTTCTTCTTCTTCTTCTTCTCCTCAAAGCCCCCCAATACATAGTTGTATATTCTAGTTGTGAGTGCCTCTCTTGTGCTATGTGGGATGCTGCCTCAGCATGGCCTGATGAGTGGTGCCATGTCTACGCCCCGGATCCAAACTGGTGAAAACCTGGGCCAGCCAAAAGGAAAACATGAACTTAACCACAGCCACGGCTCTGGCCCCTGAGCCAGTATTTTAGTTACACATGTCAAAATAACATCTAGGGATTGAAATTATTTTAAAGCTAAGAAAATTAAGTCATATTTTTCCCTACATGATTTTTTTTTTTTTTAGTAAGGAAGATTGGCCCCAAGCTAACATCTGTTGCCAATCTTCCTCTTTTTGCTTGAGGAAGATTGTTGCTGAGCTAACATCCATGCCAGTCTTCCTCTATTTTGTATGTGGGATGCTGCCAAAGCATGGCCTAATGAACGGTATGTAGGTCCACACCTGGGATCTGAACCCTCGAACCCCAGGCTGCTGAAGTGGAATGTGTGATCTTAACCGCTAAACCACTGGGCCAGCCCCCCACTTTTATTTTGTAGAGTGAAGCAAAGTTAGTGTCCATCTTCCCAGGAATAGTTTATATAAAGCCCTGTACTAAAGTTGATGGTGAAAGTGAATATTTAGAGAAAGTTATAGTAGACCCATAGTATGGGATCAACAGAAGATTCTTTCTGACTCTTTTTTTTCCTGAGCCTAATTTTGCTGCATCCTAGTTTTGTGCAAGCCTGCTGAATGCTCCAGAAGACAGTTCCACATTACAAGAAAAACCTTCCTATCTGGTGAGAGGGAGAAAAGGGAAGGAGTAGGGGCTATAGTCATGAGATCCCACCATTAGCATGCAGACTAGAGGATTCCTGAGTTTCTTTCCTGACCCAAAGAACAGACAAGTATACCTTTTCCAGACCTACCCTCCTTGAGGAGACTCCAGATTAGCGAGATTAAAACTTCTGATGGCCAGTAGGGCCTATTAACTAAATGTGTTAGTCAAAGTAAACTAATTTGCCATGGTAGAATAGCTCTTTTAACAAGTTCCCTCTCTTGCCCCTAAATCTCTGTGGTTTAGCACAACAGAAGATTACTGCTTGCTCTCATCAGAGTCCATTGTGATTGGCTGGAAGAGGTGGAGGGATCTCTCTCCATGAAGTGACTCAGGGACCTAAGTTCTTTCCATGTTTTAATGCTTCCGTCGTCAACCCATGGGTACCAAAGCCATGGTGGAAGGGGAAGAAAGAGCATGGAGGATCATGCAAAAGGTTTTATGATGGGTCTGGAAGTGGCAAACAATATTTCTGGCCACATTCTTCAGTCTAGAACTCAATCACGTGGTCCCAACTTAATTTCAATGAAGATTGGGAAATGTGGTCTTCCTGTGTGCTCAGAAGGAAAATAAAATGAGTGTGGCAAACATAAACATTAAAAAAAATCCTTATGTCTTCCATTGATGCCTTTTACTGACATAGGAGTTACTGTCATTGAGTAGATATGTTATTAAACAATAATGAATATAAAATAGTTAATGAGTTAAATGCTCGATGAGTCAGAAAGGCAAGTGAGGCAAGTAGAAAAGCATAAACTTTAAAAATTCCAAACTGTATCAAAATAGCCTCATAAATAGATTTTGTCATAAACAGCTTTTTTTTTAAAGATTTTATTTTTTTCCTTTTTCTCCCCAAAGCCCCCTGGTACATAGTTGTATATTCTTAGTTGTGGGTCCTTCTAGTTGTGGCATGTGGGACACCGCCTCAGCGTGGCTCGATGAGCAGTGCCATGTCTGCGCCCAGGATTTGAACTGACGAAACACTGGGCCGCCTGCAGTGGAGCGTGTGAACTTAACCACTCGGCCATGGGGTTGGCCCCATAAGCAGCTTTTTTTAAGTGTAAAATTAGAAAATTTTAAATGTAACACCTGCAAAAGTTCCCTTGATTAGAGAGAGATTGTGTTGTGAAGTTGTTCTAGCATAAAAGAGGTCTGAAAGGAGTTTAATAATCCAAATGTTCATCCAGACTTTTGTCTTGTTTCTTTATAAAGGATCTCAGACAGAAATGATGCCACTAAAACCTATAAGGCCAATACCTTGGATAACCGACTAACCAATAGGTACCAGTATCTACTGACTTTGGGAAAGGCTCAAGTATAATATTTCTCTAAGCATTACTTATTTACTTACAATTCTTCAGTCCTACTTAATATCTTTCTGTAAATTCTTATCGTCTATTTTTTAATACAAGAGTTCTGGAGTAAAAAAGTACTCCTGCTGGTGGTTAGAGAAAAATAAAATCTTGTTGCCTGGGTTAAAAACCAAGAGAGCTCATTGCTTCAGGCCGTCATTCCTACCAGATTTATGTTTCTGTTTAAGTTATCCTGGTGGCAAGATTATGAAATACATATAATTGCCAATTTTATACTCTTATTGCTAAAGAAAATTACTGAACCCAACAAATAAAAGCTTTGGGCTTAAATGATATTGAATTTTCTGAAGGAAAAAAGTTTCCTTTGGAATCTCGTATAAGAGATAAAAAGATTATGAAATTACCTTATCAAATTTATTCAAATACTGAGACTTTCTTACTCTCAAATAATGTTTAAATTTTAATAATAATAACTCTAAATCCAGGAACAATTACAAATCAATGCAAGTATAAATTCTTTCTTGCTGCTCAAACTGTTGCATTTTTTTTTCCTTACCAGAAACATGTCCACGTTTAGATCACCAGAAGCAACAAAGACGTAAGTACTTTTCTAACTGAAGTTACGTTTTAAGAATAAAGTGTAACTCTTGCATGTGTTTAAGAAAAACTAAGGTACTCTGCCCTCAGGCCAAAGTTTCATTATAGTATAGCCACTCCCTTTCACTTAGGCAGATTTGAGAGGTAGAAATACCAAAACGGTCCTCACAGCTTCAGATATTTACCATCTGGACTTGAAGACAAAGAGTTTGTCGACCTTTCCTCTAATCAAACACCAAAGCTTAACTCTTCTTTTTGCTTTTCTTCCTTTTTTTAAAATCTAGATTCTTTATTTTTTCCCCCACAGAACCTTTTTAATTTTCCCTATTCCTATGGCAACTAACTCTTTCTTCCCCCCGTTGCACTTGCCTCTCAAAACACCCATCACGTCTACAACTCAATTGAGCCGTGAAATCATGGGTTTGCTAACAACCTAGTTCAATAAAACAGATTTTCCCTGGAATGTACTCCTGGCGCTTATAAACAGCCCAAACTTGCTAGAATTTTGAAAACTTAATTAGTTTTAAAATTTGTATTACAAATAAAGTAATTTTCACCATGGACCACACTTCTCAGCAGTTGAAACAGGCCTGGACCACTTCCATTTTTTTGAGGGTCTGTGTATATCAATACATACTAAATAGAGATTTTAAATGGTATATTTTTAAGTGTTTTCTTAAACAAGTTAATGCTTTTAATGCAAAAAAATTGCTATATAATTCTGTTGGTCACAATATAATTACAGGATTAAAGTACATATATATATAAGTCTATACATATGTATACAAATCCATAGCACACCTGAATGGATTGGTCTGGATTTCAGACACACAATTAACATCATATGATGAATGCTTTCTTCATTCAATTCCTTCTGTTTTAGTTACTTAGATGAGAGCCTGACACTGTATAAAATGGGTCAACTAGGGAGGAAATTTTTCTTTTTGTTCTTCGTTCTGCAAGTGAAACATTGTGTGGTGGATAGAACACAAGTGGGATATAAGTAGATGATAAGACCTTTCAAAGGTAAGGTAGAATAAAAAAGCTTCAGGAATGTGATGATTTGCTGTTCTTGTCATTAAACAGGCAACCTGGAGGTTTGTTCAGTGCAAACGCCACCAGCACCCCCGCTTCCACCTCTGCTGCTGCTCCTGTAAAGAAAAAGAGGTACCACGGGCTCCTTGTGTCTGCCTCTTGCTGATATTCTGTAAGGGGCTGTTCTTTAATTTCTGAACCAAATCATCCTCCAAGGCCCCCGGGCAGCATTCGAAAGTTGCTCTGCCCTTCCTCCTTGCTCCTTCCTCCACTTCCCAGGGGTTCAGTGCCTACTAGATTTTGTTGTCCTCAAACTTCAGTCCTTCTTTCTGCTAATCTCCTTTTCAAATATGTGATCTTTTCTTCATTTCCTTCAGTGTTGAATATCTAGATAATGCTTTTGGTGATAGAGCTCAAATACTGAAGGGTGAGCTACTTCAGGTAACACCTTTTAATAGAGTCCTACCAAAGGGGATGTGTTACCCTGAAATATTGACTGCAGTGTGACTATATGTTGCCATGCCCCTGAATCCAGCCCACATCACGGCCGCGTCCTCTGCTTGGTAGACTGGGCCGACCCTCCTTCCAAGTAGAGTCAAAGGCCCTATCTGGAGACATGGATCTGTGTTTGTGTGATTATTGCCACCTCCTTGGACTTCCCTGTGTGGCCTCCAACATTTTTCCTGTGCTGAGTTCCATTTATCTAGTAGGCGGAGCAGCTAGTCCTGTGGTGGCAGGATATTCTTCATGACACAGAATGTGATGGTGGAGGTGATTTCTGCCTGTTGAAGAGAACACAGTGCTAGCGATTCATGATGCTAATGGAAAACAAGCATTCATGAACCTCAGTGCTTTTTAAGTTTTCTCTTTTTCTTTTCTTTTTTCTTAAAGATTGGCACCTGGGCTAACAACTGTTGCCAATCTTCCCTTTTTTTCCCCCAAAGATTGGCACCTGGGCTAACAACTGTTGCCAATCTTTTTTCTGCTTTATCTCCCCAAACCCCCTGTACATGATTGTACACGATTGTATATCTTAGTTGCACGTCCTTCTAGTTGTGGGATGTGGGACGCCACCTCAACGTGGCCTGACGAGCGATGCCATGTCTGCGCCCAGGATCCGAACCCTGGGCTGCTGCAGCGGAGCACGCAAACTTAACCACTCGGCCACGGAGCCAGCCCCAGTTTTCTTATTTTCTTTGCTTTCACCTAGGATTATGCCTGGTATAGGGTAGGTGCTCAATGTTTGTAGATGGACTGGCTGACTGCCATGACGCTTCCATAGCCATCCTGGAGAGAAACAACCGATTCTATTTTTCCTGTAGTTGGAATTCTGTTTGTATCTGCAGAGTCTCAGAAATGTGCTCACCTTTCTCTTAGACTCAAATTTCACATCCGCCTGACACTTTGCCTATTAGAAACAGATTCCTAAGGTTGGAAGGGAAATTTAAGGTCAGTTAGTTCAACCTTCTACCCACTGCAAGAATCTTTCTTTTGACCAGTTAGGCATAATTGAGGACCACTTTAGCCAGCAATGAGACTCTCCCTTTTGTGACATAACTTTGACTAGCTCTCGTGGAGAGCATCTACTACTTATACTGAGCTGAAGTCTGCTGTGATCTACTCTCATCTCATCTTGGTTCAGTCCTGTGGTGCCTCAGAGAATACCTGCTTCAAGAATTTACAGCCAGCTCTCCTATCCTGCTTATCCCAGCTTTTCCTTCTCTCAGCTACGTCACTCTCCTCTGAACACCTTCATTTTTGGTCCATATCTTAGTCTTTTTGAAAGAGCCCTTAGTTATCTCTACCAATTAAAATTATGCTCTAGTAATAGGAAAACATCTTTCTAATCGGATGTATATATATTTGTGTATATACATATACATATATACATAATTGAAGTTAGAATTACTGTGGTGTTCATTTATGTTTCCAATTTTCTTACTTGTCAGAGTTGTCTATCACACAGTTTTGTTTGTTTGTTTGTTGTTTTATTGTGTGTGAGGAAGATTGGCCCTGAGTTAACGTCTGTTGCCAATCTTCCTCTTTTTGCTTGAAGAAGATTGTTGCTGAGCTAACATCTATTACAGTTTTTTTTTAAAGCTGTATTTTGAATAGAGCATAAGACTATTGTTATTTTTATCATGAAATATTTCAGATATGTAGAAAAATAGACAGAAAAAGAGGTATGTTGATGATAAACACCCATGAACCTAGTATTTACATTTCACAGATGTTATTATTTTCCAGATTTCCCTCAGATTTCTTTTAAAAGAAAAGTCTACATTGTTTAGTGTCAAAAGACATGGGAAAAGGAATTTACTCAGAGGAGTGGATAGCTGGGATTGTAGGGCAGTTACTTCCTATAGCATTTGTGAAATAGTTTTCATTTTACTTCCAAGGCCTTGTAGAAAAGTCATCTCATTGCTTTTTTAACTGTCAAATTATTTTCAGCTTTTCTTGCCTGGCATGTGGGTGGGACCAGGCCTTTCAACCACCATGTTTATAACTAATGTCATTTCTTAACAGACAGTCCTGGTTTCCACCACCCCCTCCGGGTTATAATGCCACCCCAAGCACAGGAGCAAGCAGAAGGTAAGGGAAAGGTGTCAGATGTAATTGCTATGTAACTTGATGGAGGAAGGTGTAGGATATTGACACGTATAATTGTGGATGCTTTGCAATAAATTGGAGGCAATTTTGTGAACTCTGAGCACTGAATAAGACAGTGCCCAGTGGGAGTGAGGTCAGGGTATGAGTGCCCCTGGCAGGAACCCTGATAAGCTGCGATGAGTAAGTACATAGCTTTTTTAGTTTGCCAGGGTTGCCATAACAAAGTACCAAACACTGGGTGGCTTGACAGAAATATATTGTCTCACAGATGCAGAGGCTAGAAGTCCAAGGTCAAGGTGTTGGCAGAGTTGGTTCCTTCTGAGGGCTGTGAGAGGGAATCTGTTCCACGCTCCCTTCTAACTTATGGTGGTTTCCTGGCAATCTTTGGCATTCGCTAGTTTGCGTAAGCACCATCCCGATCTCTGCCTTCATCTTTAGATGGCGTTCTCCCTGCGTGCATGTCTGTGTCCAAATTTCCCCTTCTTGTAAGGGCACCAGTCATACTGGATTGGGGCCTATCCTGCTCCAGTAGGACCTCATCCTAACTTCACTAATTACATCTGCAATGATCCTGTTTCCGAAGAGGCTCACATTCTGAAGCACTGTGAGTTAGGACTTCAACCTATGAATTTGAGGGGAACATAATTCAATGCTTGAGTGGCAGAGAAGAGAACGGAGTCCACCAGCAGGTGGGGCTCCAACATGAGCTCCTGGTGCACAGCTGCTTCCGGGCTGTGATGAGCCCAGAGGAGTGCATGGGGTTGCTGTGGCAAGTTTCTTGAAAACGTTGAGTGATAGATGGGTGGTTTTTACTTTTAGTTTTTTGTTTAGAGCAATAATTATAACTAAAATTATAGACCATATGGGGAGGACACCTTGTTCTACCATTTCCATGCTAGGAATGTCAACAACAATTTAATATAATAAATGTTTAATAAGTGATTACTGTGTGCCAGATATTTTTCTAGGATCTTGAGATATGTCAGTAAACAAAACGTGGAGCCTTACTCCAGCCTTCAAGGAAGCAGACACAAGTGTAGAACTCCTATAATCTATGTCGAAGAAAAATAGGTCTCTGACTGGGTTTTGCTTTAGGGTATCCAAAATTGTTTTCAGGTCACCAATCTTTAGAGTATCTTCACCAAATATTTCCAGGTTTCAATGGTACTTATTTTCCAAATTCAACAATTGGAAAAGAGAGTTTTTAAATGTTGTGCTTGTTTAATACTATATTGTTTTAATTTCCTAAAATTTTCACCCGCTATGCAGGCTTTTATATCTCTGTGCTTTCCAACTAATGGAAATATTTGGAACTAAATATCTTCTATTATAACTTAGGTTTGGTCTATAAGGATGTAAATAAACTTTAGTTGACCAATAGACACAAAGAGCTCAAGTTGCTTTTTTCACACCTGTTGTTGTATCTGTATATATATATATATATTATTTATATGTTATATATTATTTTATATAGATAACAATTATTGAACATGTTGAACAATCACTACTTGAAATTACATACACCTTCTGTTAAAATGTTTTTTTCTTTTAAACCTGCTCATTTATAGGTGACTTCCAATCATATGAACTGCCAAGTATGGATTATATTTCTAGTTTAAAACCTTATTTCCCCTCAAACTGTGTTTAGATATTTCTCTATGAGTGATAAATTTCATAGAGCTACCTAAATGGGAGAATATTAACTAGGAGTTTTGCTAGACACTATTGTTTCCTGAGTATTGTAAAATCCATCCAATTCTGTCTTGACAGACAATAACTGGTACTTAGAAATATTTATTACTTATTTCTAAAATAACTTCTTATTTTTGTCTTCTATTCATTATTCCAAAATTGATATAAATTATCATTATAATAAGCAACTGGTTATATCACTGTGTAAAAATATGGAAGGATTATTCATGAGTTACCAGCTCATGCTTTCAATGCCTACTGAGCTTGTGGCTCTCTGTTTGCATTAGAACTGACAGTGCTTGGCTAGATGCCCTTACAATTTATGCATTGCTGGATGTGATTTACATGGAGGATAAAATGAGTTCCAATGCTCCTATTTCTGATTCCTGGATCAGATCCACAGCACTGGAACTAAGGAAAAGAGAAGATTATTGGACTAGGTTGATCAATTTAGATATCCATTCCTTTCTCAGAGTCACAGATTATTAATATAATGGCTACACTGAAAGACTTCTCTTTGAGGATCAGAGCTAATGTCATGCCAAGTTTTCAGGGGAAGGAGAGAATAATAACGATGTAGCAATGCCTTTGATTTCTGAGGTGCTTTTCTTCAGCAGAACTCAAAGTACAACTTCTGTTTCTCACCTTTAATGCCAGTGCATTCCTAGGGCTGAGAAATAGTCTTTTTAGTAAAAACTGGAAAATAGAAGCAATTATTAAATGATGAAAGGAAGCAAAGTCTTCAAAAAGAGATCTTTGTCCCCAGAAGACCACAAAGAAAATGAAAATAGGTCAAAAATAGATAAAAATGAGGGACTGTGATTTTAATACTAGCTAATGGCTCCATGTTAACCTTATTTCCCTTCATCCTACACTTATGCACTGTGTCCTTGCCCCTCTTCTCTCCCCTCCTATCTTCTGCAAAAGAATTTCCCCTTAATATGGACTCTCTCATTCTCTTTTCTGTTCTTAATTTTGTGAACTTTCATTTTTTCCATCACCTAGTCTTTCCTGGAGATGTCATTTCTCCCACATACCCGCGTCTGTGCAGCACATTTGAAAAGACCATCAGGCTTCCGAGTCATTACAGGAATGAGTCCTTTTCCTGAACCTTTCTTCCCTTTTCCCCCCTCTGTAGCCTTTGACACTATGGATCACCCTGATCCTCAGTTGTTCCTTTCTTGACTTATACAGTGTGGAAGAATCAAACTTAGTTGTGTTTGAATTGAAAATTTGTGTTTGCGTTAAAATCTATTAGAGACATGAGGTAAACTGCACCGGGTCTCAAGCTTTTTTATCAACAGAAGAACCCATGACGTCACATCTTTATCTATATTTATATGTATAACTATGACTATATGTCTGTCTATGTCTGTATTTATTTCTATATCTATAACTATAGATGGAATTCTCTGCATGTAGTTCTCTCTATATAATTAACATAAGCCTGGTGAATTTAATTAGAGCGTAAATGAGAAAATTTACTTTTCTAAAATAGCCATATTTTATAGCTAAAGAAAAAAGCATTTTCTTAAAACAAGTATCATTTTATGTACGATACACATTAGTCTTGCATGAGAGGGTTAAGACCTGGGTAATCAAACAAAATTTTGGGATTAAGAGTTGAATATCTTTGAAAGTCTCTTACCCCCTTTTTGATAAAACCAGATTAAAGAGAAAAGCTGTAATTCATGATAGCAAGACAACATGTAAAGTTTTGAACTTAAATAAAACCTTTTCTAGCTGATTTCTAAGGTTGCTTTTTAGTCATTGGGATGTAACCTTTCTCTGACCTCCTCTTCCTTCTCTTCCTGAGCAGGGAAACAACCACATAGTGTTTTGAATGACCAACCTGTTTCAGCAAAATTATTTCCTCTGAAATATTCTTGTCAAATGCTATCAGGACCTATAATTTCTTTCCATTTTAATCAAGATTGAATCAAAATTTTAGCTTTATAATTGCTGTTGCTCGTTGCATTCATCTGACTCTCCTCCTACCTCTCTGATCAAACCCCCACCTCACAGGTTTCCCCCCTTCTCCATGATCAAATGCCTTTCATCTGAAAAAATAGCCTCCTAAAAATGAACAGCCTAATATTACAAATCCATTCAACCGGCACCCTATCTCTCCACCACAGCCAAAGTTCTCAGAAGACTTGATACTTTCCATCTCCAGTTTTTCTGGCTCCTACCACCATTAGTTCATGGAAACAGCTCTCCCCAGATCATTAACGTTGCTGATAAATTCTTGTTGACACATCAGTCCCAGTAATCACTTGACCTTTCAAAAGGCACCACTGGCTATTCACATCTGTATGAAATCTTCTCTCTTGTTGCCTTTTGAGAATCCCTTGCCCCCATCAACACACTCTCCTGGATTTTCTTTTGTTTCTCCAGCCGTTCTTTCTCAGTCTCTTTTGCTACCTTATCGTCTTCTACCAATCCGTTAGATGTGGCTGTGCCTAAAAACTCAAAGTCCCTCTTCTCTTCTTATTTTGTTCTCTGTCCTTTGACAGCATTATCCATGTGTAGGGCTTCAGTGGCCATTTGCATACTCGCGACTCCTTCATTTTTGTCTACTCTAGACTCTTCTCTGAATTACCTTTGGAGAGCCAACTGCCTATTTGACACCTCCACTTAAAATGTCTCAAAAACACTGCAAACTCAGCATGTTCAAAATGAGATTCATAGTTCTCCACGCTAACCTGGGCTTCTATCTCAGTTAATAATACTATCCTCTAGCCAGTCAACACCCCCAAAAACTTGAAGTTATATTTTACACCTTTTTCTCCTTAACCACTATTATCCAATCCATTTGTAAATGCTGTCAATTTACCTCCTAAATAACTCTTGATCCATAAACCTGTCTCTATTTCTGTCATCATAAATCCCCTGGGCTATCATGGTAGCTGCCTAAGTATTCTGTCTTCATTCACCCTGATTACCTCCCCCATCTCATTTCTTTACAGTTGCCAGAGTGATATTTATAAAAAGATGATTGGAACTTATCACCCTCCTGAATAAAGATTACCACTTTTAGTTGTTCTTAAAGACCCAAATCCTTAGTGTTGACTGCCTGTCCTTACCTTCCTTCCATCCCTCATAACTCTGCTTTGCACTCTGTTCCAGTCACTTAATTTGTTTTAAATGCACTGCACTCCCACCTTCCCCAGACCCTCATATAAGCTTCCCTCTGCCTGCAATGCTGTCTTCTTCCCCACCTGAGACACTTATGTTCTTGTGGTCATGTTTTGACCTGATTTCTTTTCAAAATATCACTTCTGACTTAT